TCTCCGCCTCAAAAATCCCCCCGAGTTATTCCATCCTCGTCCTCAGCACATCTCACAAGTCCCTATGATGCGCTCCCCTCCACCTCCAGCCTCGCAGAACTCGTCACAGCCCCCAGTTAATAGCTATGGGAATCCATATCAGTCGCCGCCGGCCGGGGGAGGTGGTGGAGGGGGAGGGTTTGGCCCCAACTTCGGCTTCATGACCGACCCGACAGCCCAGATGGGGTTTCAAGTAGGGCAACATGCCATGAAGGCTGGACAAGAATACATGGAGCAGAATGTATGTGTACCACCCGGTTTCAGGCCACACACAGTGGACGAGAGTCTGGCGCTCGTAGAGTATCCAGGTGGAAAATGGCAAATGCTGACACGTCTCTTTCCTGCCAGTTGAACCGCTACATTTCTGTCTCTGCACTGAAACACTATTTCAATGTCTCAAACTCGTACGTGGTACGGAAGCTACTGCTTGTTCTGTTTCCCTGGCGGCATAAGCCGTGGACGCGACAGCAAGCTCGAATGACCACCTCCTCGACCGCTGCCGACGGCACAATGACCCAACAGTCCTATTCATTCAACTACCTGCCGCCTCGCGACGACCTCAATTCGCCGGACATGTACATCCCAATCATGGCCTTGATCACATATATCCTCCTGTCGACTGTGCTCGCCGGAGTGAGGGGTTCATTCCACCCTGAACTGCTGGGTAGCATAACTAGCACGGCCATTTTCGTCATCATCTTCGAGATCATCGTCCTGAAGATCGCCATGTATATGCTGAGCATCAGCAACGACTCGCAACTCCTGGATTTGGTGGCTTATTCAGGATACAAATTTGTGGGAGTGATTGTGACACTGTTTCTCAGCGAGCTTCTGACTGGTGGGAGCGGCACAAACAACTGGGTGGGCTGGACATTGTTTCTGTACACCTGGTACGCGAATGCGTTCTTTCTGGTAAGTGATACCTTGTAACTGCATCCCCACCAAATCAGAAATCTGACCTCTCTTATCTCATATAGCTACGGTCACTGAAATACGTCCTCTTACCGGATGCCTCCTCTGGGGATCCGACGGCCATGCGAGGCGGAAGCTCATACACCGTGGCCCGCGCACAGAAGAACCGTCGCACATACTTCTTGGCGCTGTATGCGTTTGTGATCCAGATGCTGTTCATGTGGATTCTCAGCCGTGAAGAGGCCGCTGTCAAGACGGTGGCCAGCAGACTGGCCGGTCCGAGAGCATAGAGAGGACAATGTGCAATGACGACCGATTTATCGAAAAATTACGCAGTTTTTGTGCGCTCCGAAATGACCAGACAGAAGAGCTTGTCTAAGCCGCGTCGCTGAATCCGAGAGACTAGTCCCCTGACTGATAAACCACGATATAATATAGAGCCGGGTCGACTTCCTCCCTCTGTCTCACCAACCCGAGTTCCAGACTGGCAGCAGCAGCAGTATCACTACCACGGCCAACGCTGTGAAGGCGTGTGGCCGGTGTGACCCGATGACCCTAGTGGAATCACGGCCCTCTTCCCCCTTTCTCAGGGTCTTTGATGCTCCTTCTCCTCCTTTATCTCCTTGGCTGAGTGGGTTAATCGCCAACCGACACGACATCTTCCTTGACATCATTTACCCACAGACGAGCTGTTCGTACGGGCAACACGTGAACAAACGACATGGCAGCACGACCTTGGTGTCGACGGTATGATACATCAATCTATCTACCTAGTACGCTCTGCGTCTGCATCTACAAATGTTCGCACGCCGCACGTCGCACGCTGCAAGGCCAGATGAGAGTGGTCGTGTGTGCGGAGAGCTCGTGCCGGTCCTCTTCCATTCTCGAATACCCGATCCCCGCTCACCAAGATCGAGAAATTGATATCTGGTCCTGCTGGTCCTGCTGGTGGTGGTGGTGGTGGTGGTGGTGGAAAAGAAGAACAAAGGAAAGAAGCTGCCAAGGAAGAGAGAGGGAGGCAGGGCTTGTAACTTGTATACGACGACTGTCTCACTTTCGAACGTCTGTCTGCCGTCTGACATTGTGGAAGGGTAGAGCTGGAGGCAGAAACGCAGAGCGCAGAAAAGAGGGAGTCTAGACGGACGGCCGGGCTCTATTCAGCTCCCATGGCGTACTTACTTCTTCTTTGTGTACCTACATCCATGTATGTAGCTACGCGGCTGATGAGTATAGTATAGTATAGTATACACGAAGATGATATCTGTGTCTATACTACCGGCATCTATATCTGTATGTCCATTTTCATATCCATCTTCATGTCTGTCTTCATTGGTCTATATCTATAGATCTGGTATACACATCCTTTGATATCTGTTCCTGCTCCCGCAACAGGGGTAGAGAGGAGAGCAGGAAACACACAATCTAAAAATGCAGAACGGCAACCAGTCCTCACAACCGTTAAACGTCAGTCGCCTCCATTTCAACACTTCCCACAGTACTACTACCATTTCTCGTTGTCGTAGAGTATCTGTAGACTATCCTCCATGACAATACCGCACACACGCCACGTCCGATACTCTGCCTGTGCCGCTGGTGCCGGTCCTGGTACTGGCGCTGGGACCACTGTCTGTGCTGAAAGATCCAAGTTGCCACAAAGTAACTGGGATCGCCGTTGGAACCAGACACGCCAGAGTCACTGTGGTAGGTTTCATTAAGTGTGCGTTTTCGTATCCATAATGGGTTTCTGCTGTATGGACTCACGCCGACCAGAACCAGGCTTTTCCTCCCATGGAAAGTTGACAAATTAAGAGGATCAACTCACCTGTCCACCCCTCTGTTTGACCCTTTGCTCCACTGAACACGCAAGGTGTTGTCAGACAGCAAGACAGCCAAAGAAGTAGACATTCCTTCGAGGGATTCTCGACTCCATTCATAAGGCTGTGCTGAAAGTCCAATCAAATGCCAGAACAGTGACGACACCGAAACCCCCCACAGAACAGTCGCCTTCTCCGTAAAAGGGGATTCACACCTACCCTCTGTGTGACTGATCTTCCCCGAGTCTTCGGTGAACGATGAGGTCAAGGATCACCAACGTGGCGAACACTGGCGATCCAACATGGAAGTATGAAAGTCCGACGTTCGTCAAAAGCAACAACAAACTTGTCAATCAACCACCCAAAAAATGACGACCAAGCATCTGATCTGAGCACAGAGAGCCAATTGCGGCAGAGGAACGTCCCGGATCTCTGCCGGCCAACAAGAGACATCAAGGCTGGCACTGGCATGACTATCTCCGGAAGCGCACCAAACACGGCAGGAGACACTCCGACTCGCGGACACCAAAGGGAAGATAGTGGGACAATCGACCCGGCTGACTCCGCTTTCGACGCGTAGGTAGCAAGAGAAGCCCAACAACACACGATAGCCAAGGTCCCACGAGGTTGACGATCTCCTAGGTTGTCTGGCGAGCGTCGTGTGTTGCCGATCTTTAGCCAGGAAATGCACTATGCCACTACTCGAGGACAATGCTGTTGCGTCTTAGCCCTCGAAAAATAGCCGTCGGTTTGCATTGGTTATCGGTGGCCAACGACGATCAGATATTGCCATGGGATCACCCAAGCATTTCCAACATTCAAAGAACCCAGTTTTGAAAGCGAGAGGAATTCAGACCAGACATGAGACACCGCCAGTGGGGAGTGCTGCTGACTCAGGAATACTGTCAACACTCATCGAGACCGAAGAATCGAGGCCATAATGCTCTCCGGGTTTCTTGCAAACGCCGTTCACCGGTCCAGTCGACATGAACTGAACATGACGCAGATGTTGTGACTGCGGTTGATGTCAGCTGCTCGACATGAAAGATGGGTCAGCCACCTCGCAGGAAGTTGCAGGGGTGTCGAGAAGATCATAGGTCGCTTGGTGAGATGGCTTTGTTGACGGTACCGATCTTGACACATCGACTAGCTGGGAATTGACCTCTTCGATGATAAAGGCTTTAACCTATTGATGCTATCGGGAAGTTGCAAATAGTCTAGCCCAGAAGCGTTCAGCCCGCGCGAGAGAGAGTTTCGATCCCTTCACGGTTCGGACCAAGGCCCTTCATGTTCCTCGGGAGCATCCTCTGTGGGTTGCGTTTGGCAGCAACAAGCAAAGTCAGCATTCTTGTTAGTGGTCATAAATTCTTGCTCAATGCCAGGGGCAGATCTCCAGGAAGGGTCTGTGCGGTGGTGACTCAAAGAGCTGGATCAAAGTCAAGCTAAAACGCCTGTTTGGTGACCCACACATGAATCAGTCTGAGGGATGATGCGGATAGACGGCTCCAGGAGTATTTTCAAGCCGTAAAGACAACCGTGATAGGTGTCCGGCAGCCGCACTGTAATCAAGCCACGGAAGTTCGTGGGGCCAGGGGTCGGCAAGGGCAAGGGTAAATGTCTGGAGGGACTCAACGCCGTAGTAATGTGCGGGTTCGGTCTTGCAACCGGGAGACTTTCGTTCCCGGTTGCTCAAGGAGAAAACTAGTGGCGATTTTTCGACCGTCAAAAGGACTGGGGCAAAGGTGCTGATCTGCAATCAGGTCGCAAAAAAACCCCCAAGTGATGATTCAAACCAACAAATCCAGGCACTATACCTTACTGTTGCTCACCTCAATGTGCGCCTTGTCATACACCTGCTCTCGGGGAAGAGCATGGGAGATTGGCAACTTCGGTCGAGACGATAGCATCAAGACCTTTCGGGAGGATTCTGCACAGCCTCGACGGGAGAGCGACTTTGATTCAGCAAAGAAGACAATGAAACATGGACTCGGATTTTACGCTTGGGCACTCCTCTCAGCGCTAGATCGGTATCTAACGCCACGGGCTGGTCTGTGGAAAGATGGTGCCCGCGAGGTCTGGAAACGATCTACCGGCCAACAGTCGTCTTGTCCTTCGAAGGATCCCTGTCTGAGGTCTAGGTGGGGTCTGTTAGCTCAGCAATCCCTCGAAAAGTTTTCCTGCATATGTAAGCATGAAATTACTTCGCAATGGGTCCAGCGAGCTGCCCCCTTTGTGTGGAGACTGGTATCCAACAGATGGCGCATGCGAGTTAATGCGAGTTGACAAGGAAAATGCATCCAGTTCGCGCCCGAGGCGGAAGAGCTGCCCCCGCCATCCTCCCAGACTTACTCCCTTGCCCAGCCGAGCGGTGTATTGATGCTATCTTTGGTGCTCAGTACACGTCGCCCATCAAGGTCGTGAACCACCACCTATTTTGGGTCGATGAGTAGTAACGAACTCGAAGGTTCTGAGGCAGATGTTTCACCAGGCTTGGAAATGTGTAAAATGGCGACGACAGCAAAAGTCCGCGGGCCCACCTCCACTCGTGGAGCGCGTCCGTGCGACGCGAATACGTCGAAGGAGGATCGTCAGAATGCTGTGAGGGCAGGTTCATCGGCGATCCATCGGTTCTGACGATGAGTGAGTGCGTGTCTCTCCTGCGGATACTGGATTGAAGGATCTAAGTTGCGCAGTCTGGTGAAGCGATGACCATGCAGTCTCGAGTAACCATGCCGAAGTCTGGTGGACCTGCACCTGCCTGATTGGTCAAAGGTGAGAACCAGAAGCCTGGTAGGGCCCAAAATGTGGATGCTGTTGGGGAGAGCTTCGTGATGTACGAGTACATACGAGTACTTGACAGCAAAAAGGATGACCAGGCTCATTGTGGGTGACGTTAGTGGGAGCCCAGTCAGGGTCTCATGCAAGAAGACTTGTCAGAGATGAAACCCAGATCGACGACATTTGTTTCTCCACCGTGACAGTATTGCGCACGACTCATTTGTTGTAGGTTCCAAGCACCGTGTTTGGGCCCGGCAATGATGACCGCAGGGGGTAAATGAGACCTTTGAGGAAAGTGAGCATTTGAATCATGCAAGGCATGCCCTCGCTGAGATGTTGTCGGCCGCGATTGGTCCGAACGGTCCAATGTGACCATGGCGTTTTTCCCACCGCGGCCGCAGCTCAATGCCGGATCCGTTCCAGTCGACCGCTAACAGACCAACAACCTACTAAGCGCAGCGCCAGAAAGTATGTCCGTCTGGATGCGGTCTGCCAGACGTGTTGAAGAGGACGAGAGGCCGCCGAATGAGGAATGAGGGTATGAGGGCGGCATTGGTGCCGCAAGCGAGAGCTGGCCCCGGGGAGAAAGCTGTGGACGATCTGGTCTTGACCCGTCTTCTGGAATGGGACTTTTGTCACGCCTTTTTGTGGATGGACGGGGTGGACAGTGTGGACAGTGCGAATAGAGGGGAAGGCGG